AGCATCGACGATGGACGCGGGAGGAGGCGCGTGAACGAGGCGGCTGCAGGGGAGCGCCCGTGGCGACGGCGGCCATGGGTGTGGGCGGAGGCAAGGCGCGCGCGACTCGGCAGGGGAGTAGCAGCGAGAGACAGCGGTGGCAGCAACAGAAGTAAGCAACAGCGGGAGTGGCCTGCAGCGGCATTTGCGGCAATGGCCGAGCGAAGGCAGTGGCATCGCTCGACGAATTCAAACGCACGCGAGGGCATCGAGTGATCTACGGGCCCAGGCGGTATCTACGCAAGGCCACGAGCGCGCTGGTGTGTTCGAGTGAGCGGGAGGAGCAACACAGCAGCGGTAGCAAGCACGGCGATGGCGACGAGCTACTGTTGCAATGGAAAAAACACGCTCGAGCTCGAAACCGAGCTCGGGAAGAGGCAGTGAGGAAGTAGGCCTCACAGAGAACTCGAGGAGATGGTCGGGGGAGCGGGGAGAGGCACCGGAGCCGTAGTATTCGAAGCGGATCGTCGACGGTGCAGAGAAGGGGAACAACTCGATCCCGGTGCGGTGGTGATCCCCTGTACGATTTGCTCCTCGGAGTCGATGTAGACGTAGCACACGCAGCTCCTAGACATCCTCTCGGGCGCCGGGGAGGTCAGTTGACGCGACGACGGTGATGGCGCGGCGACAACGGCTCGAACACAATCTAAATAAAGAGAGGAGGACGAGCGAGAGGGATGTGGCATGTTAGGGTTTGTCCACTGCGTCGGGGGTGGCTTTATACACCTCGGGGACCCGTGGGATGGCGGACACGGCGGCATCGGCGGCCTCGGTGGGGTGGATGGCCGCCACGCCATGCCCTCCTGTACAGAGATTGAAGGAAAGGAGAGATGGGCTGGGCTTGTACTATTCACAATGGGCCAAAGTGCACAGGAATCTTTCTTCTTTTCGATTGCTAAAATAATAAGTAGCTATTGTTTCTAAATAGTTTAGTGATCAAATGAATTTGTTAATTTTGGAACTTTGCCCAATAATACTAGATACTATTCCTGGACTGCACAAAAAGTTTGGAATTAGTTTGAATTTTTCATAAATTAGAAAAATATTAAATGTTGTTTTTGGCACTGTTTTAATTAGGTTAAGGGCATTTAATTACTTCAAATAATGTTGGTCTATTCATGTCAATTAGTTAGTGAAATTTTGCAACTCGTCGAACATTTTTGTTTTACAGTTCGAAGGAATAATAATTTAACTTGTCTTTTATAAATTTGAATTTGAGGTCGGATTGAAACAGAGTGATTAATAAAAATAAAATAATTGTGATGACTTGGCACCATTAGGCATGAGATTACTATAGCATGATTCTCAGGGTGTTACAATTCCCCATTCCCTCCGCCGTGGATCGAATCTAGCGTGCATGTCGAAGAGAGAGAAGTGCTTACCGCCATTGATGGAGTCCGGTGCTCTTTTTCCTCTGCTCTGATCCGCCGCCGCCGGTGATGGAGTCCGGTGGTCTTCTTCCTCTGCTCCGATCTGTCGCCGCCGGTGAGAGTTGGGAGAGTGGGGAAGAGTGGGGAGAGGGAGCGGTGAGGGGCAGTGAGGCTAATAACTGCCAGCGCTTCGGGAAGCAACGCAGCTTCTCGAGCGTGGCCGTGCGCGTGCAGCCGCCGCCGCCCACGTGCACCGCTCGGGCCTGACCCTGAAGAAACTGCCGGTTCGTGCGTTTCCAGTGAGCCAGGCCCAAAGATGCTTTAAGAAGTGTGCGATGCAGGCCCAATAATGTATGCGGGCTACCAAACAGGCTGATCACTTCCCACGCAGATTTGATCGAGGCCTATACAGGCAACCAAACACACCCTAATTGGCTGCCGGCGTCAAAGATGGGGAGATTCTCGGTGCAAGCCTATGTATTCGGCAGGAGATATCTAAACGGACGCAGATTTAATCCTTTTTTTGTTTGTTTGGGTGGGTTAAAGTGCAAATCTGGTTGGTGCATCCAACAGGCAGACCCATTTGGTCCATCTGGCTGAATTGTTCAATAAACATATTTTGCACAAATAAAAGCTTGAAACAAACGCCTCTTGGCCATAGTTCATGCCGACATACGCCCCCACGGCCAATATACATGCCAATCGAAAAAGGAAAAAATAATCCAAAATAAACCTTGAATTTATAGGCAAAAGCTAAATTAAATCCCAAACTCTCAATCCCTGTAGTTAGCAGACCAAACTCTCTAATCCTGGTCTATTTTGAACCTTGAGAGGACTTAGCCGGTATTTGCTGAATTGGGCTGGCCCATTAGCATAGTCGCTCGCGCGCTGCTTTGGTTTTTCTTTTCTTTTTTCTTTTTTACACATGTCTAATTTTGTGAGTACCCAATGTACATTTTAATGCACACATTAAATATTTTTTGATAAACTTTTAATATTCCCAAATACATTATGTACATTTTCTAATTACATGTTTTCAAAACTTTTTTGAATACATGGTAATATTTTTCCAAATACATGTTTTACATTTTCTTCATTACAATAAACATTTTATAAAACTACACGAACACTCTTTTTTCAAACACATTTTTTGAAACTCTGAATTTTTGAAAATCCGAATCAATTTCATAGCATATGAAAAACTGTTGGAATTCTGAACATTTTTTGACAAACGTGATATTTTAGAAATCATGAACAGTTTTTAAAAGTGCGAATAGAATTTCAAATTTCCATTTTTTTAAAAAGCACAAAAGGAATTGAATTTGTGCTGAAAATAGAAAGTAGGACCATTTTTTAACTTTTGAACAATTTTAGAAATATGAGAACATTTTTTAAACTTCACGAATGCATGCTGTGTTTTAGTGGGCTGGCCCAAATTCTTGTCCGTGAGAGTTCCAGGTAATCCCGATCGGGATTGTAGTATTCCCAGTGTACCAAACAGATCTAGGGTCCAAAATAGACCAGGATTACAAGTTCAGCGTGCCAATTTCCGGGATTCGAAGTTCAGGGTTTGATTTAGCTTTCGTCTACAACTTCAAGATTTGTTTTGGACTCTCGGCCATAATTCATACCGGCTTACGTGTCAGCGGCCGGCATACATGCCAGTCTACAAAAAATCACCTCTCGGCCATAGTTCATGCATCTCGAACGTAGTTCATGCTGGTATGCCAGCATACAAAATAATCACGTCTCGGCCATAGTTCATGCATATATCTGGAGCAACTTCTTTTGCTTCTTCTCGAACCAAATCCTCTTTCTTGGGACACCTTGGTCGAGTTTAATGGGACGCCTTGCTCAAGTCGGCCGACATAATCTTGACTTTCTTTGAGATTAGATCGAGTTTCAACTTGCTTCCTTTTGTTCGGACATAGCTCTCCTCGACCTCAAGCTTTTTTCTTTTGTATGTGGAAGTAGGTCTTCATTTGCTCCTCTTTCTCTTGGCGCTTCCTCTCCAACCTCGCTTTCTTTTGGGTCATGAACCCCTTCAAAATTTCTTGTAAAGCGAGTGTCTAAGCATCACACTTGTCATCCAACTTGGAGTTGGCCTCCCCCCTCGGCCGCTTCTCACCTTCACTTGGCTCAGCGACTACCATCGGCCCCACCTTTCTTTTGAGCGGCATATTGCTTCTTGAACTTTTGACACTCACAAATCATCGTTCAACAATGGGTCAAAGTGAATATCTTGTTCCCACGTTGGCCTTAAAAGTTTCCAAAGATTGGAATCCCTACAAATGAAGATGAAAACAACAATATGCATTCATATGCAATGGAGATGAAAGCATCAACCAACAAGATACACACATATGAACAAGGGGAAGGAATTGCATACCATATTTTTGATGCCTAGGCCACTCACGGGACGACCAGTGATATTCTGAAGGGTGGCACAAAACTTGTTGGACCAATTGGATGAAGCCCCACCTTTTTTTGGTTTGACACCTCACCACTGTTACTCTTAAATGTGTAAGGCTCAAACTTTCTACGTTCATGAAAGTATGTATGGAGCATCGTCCAAAACGTTGTGCCATTTTTCTTGGCGTCGGTCTTGGGATCTTGTCCAATTTCTACCCAACCTTTTCAAATCAACTTGTTCTCATCCTTGGTGTATCCTTCTGTCCGGATGCTTTGCCACCTCCTTTGTGCATTTACTTGTTGGGAGAGCTCATCGTGGAACAATGGCTCATCCTAGATGTCCACACCGTCTTCTTGCCCTTGGTTGTGGCTGTCGGTGTCTTCTTTGTCGTGGTCATTTGGGTCTTCTTGCCCTTCAGTCAACTGGTCGCGACCGTCTTGACTTTGGGTCTTGTTGGCATCGCACGCTTGGCCACCCTCACAAATGATGTCCTGCATGTATTCATTGTACTAGGCCGGGTCGTCCTGCGTCGACATCGGGGTTGGCGATCGCTGATAGGCAGCAAGGCTGGGGGTATGCACGCAACCAAACAACATTCAGATGTTGGTTTTTTGCATGTATTTGCTCAAGCAGGCCTAACTGGTACAAGTACGCAAAGCGACAAAATGCATGGCCAACCAAACACGTCAGCAGTGCCATCGGTAACAAATTTTGCCCGGCAGGGGCGATAACGGCAGCAATTCGTTAGTTCTTGTTAGTCGTCGCTAGGTGGTCTATTAATCTGGATGTAATTTTTATTATTTTTGTTATTCGTTCTACTATCATGATTGATTGATGATGAATAGATTCGAAGTTAAAAAAAAAGGTACTGCCATCGCCAGACATGCTAACGAATTCGGCAAGTTCGCGCGCGGCAATCCGTTATGTGGAATGATGGCACGAGCGAAGTATTAGCATGGTCTATCTCTCTCTCTCTCTCTCTCCGAAGACGGATTGGAGTCAGATAACCAACCGCATCGCGTGTAGCACGGCTTCCACCAGATGCCACTTACAAATTGCCGCCCTCGCTCTGCTCGTCTCACGAACTCAGTGCCCTAATCGCTAGCTAGACATTGACCACGAGTGCTCCAGGGCGGGCGCAGCTGCGGCTCTCCGGCCCGGTTCCGTTCGGCCACGAGATGGGGATGGCCGTGCTCGGCGAGGCCCAGCGGCAGCGGCGCCGGAGCGTCTACGAGTTCCTGGACGCCACCAGGCCCGCGCGCGGCCAGGCGCTGCGGTGGTGCGAGACGGCGCGGGAGATGCGCAGGGTGGACGGCGACATGAAGGAGGCGCGCCTGCTGCTCCGCGGCGCCCTCTGCTGCGTCAAGGACTACGCGTCCGTCTACAGGACGTGGATCGCCATGGAGAAGGAGGGCGGCGGCGTCGGCGTCGCCCGGTGGCTCTTCGAGGAGTGGGGCGCCGTCTGCGCCAAGGACGGCGGCCTCCGCAGCGAGGACGGCGGCGCCACCGCCGACGCGTACGGCGACTACTGGTGCGCGTACCTCGCGTTCGAGCTCGCCCACGGGGACGCCCGGCGCGCGCGCGCCGTGGCGGCACGGGCCGTGAGGGCCTGCCCGCGCGACGCCTCGTTGCGCGACACGGTGGAGCTCCGCCTCCGGGAGGACGAGCAGGAGCGGCAGAGGCGGCGGCGTCGCCCGGGGCTGTTCCGCGGCGCCAGGAAGTGGCTGGTGGACGATCTGCGCGCGTGCTTCAGCTCCATGGGCGAGCAGCGGAGTACCAACGGCTGCTTACCGCTCTTCTCCCGGCCGCCGCGGGGGTACCGGCGGCTCGTCACCGACGGCGACGAGTCGCCGTGATCGATTGCTGCTTAGGGGCTGAGTAGACCAGATTAGATCGTAGTACAATGTAAATTGTTCCACGCATTAAATTACTGGCGATGGTTTGATCCCAGGAATTAATTAACAATGCTCAAGTCAATCTCGTGTATCAAGAGATTCAGTCCAGAGTTTTTAAACTCGATCTAAGTACTGCAACCAGCGCACGTGGCGCAGTCCAGTTGTCCAATTGCTTTCTTGCTGAGTCAGACTGGCCTGCAATGGCTGTTTGTTGGGCTGTACTTTGTCTTGACCAACTGAGATGTGATTTGTAAATCCTGTAGTACCTCCATGGCTTTTTCTAATTGATGTTCATCCCATTTTTTACAGTAAGCAATCGTTTTTCTCGGAAGAAAGAAGTAATAATGACGAAAGCAATCAACCCTCAAAAATAATAATAATGACGAAAGCAATCAAAATAAGCCACATGAGAGCATCTACGGCCGGAAAGATGACCCCTTACATATGTGGACAGCACATGTTCACTACTCATTTCTCCGCGGCCGCAGCCGCCCTCCTCATGTCCAAAACGCCAAATCCATACAACCCATGCAAGATGATCAACACTACGCAACGTAGCATACATATAGACCGGGGATAGTATGTTTATACAGGGAGCGGCATTTTGCCTCCTGGGCTCTGAGCGCGGGAGTGAACATTTGTTTTCTTTTGTTAAAATGCTAAATAAAATTTTAAAAATCTTTTTTTAGAGAAATATGCCCGAGTGCGTGATACCCGTGCCAAATTTCAGAGCATTTGGATTTCTGAGTAGCTCTCGGTAAAAAAGATAGATCGGAGGTCTGTGAAAAAGTTTACTGTTTGTGCACTGTTTGGACTCACTTTTTTTACCGAGAGCTGCTCAGATGTGTAAATGCTTTGAGATTTGGCACACACCTCACTCATTGAACACATCTTTCATGCAAAAAATTGTTTTTTTTAATTTTGCTAGTATTGTTTTCTGAATTTATTGTTCATTGGGTGCAGATGAGCTCGGGCTTGTAATTGGATATTTGGTTTATACATGCATACACAAAATGTGGCAAGTTCACCATCTGCATACGTAATGCCTAACGGTAGCCAGATATATAGATAGATAGATGCCGAGGGAGGGCGACAGCTCACCATTTCCTCGCTAGGCGCTTCATCTCGAGCTCACCAGAATGGCGGTACGTAGTAGTCTTTGGCGTAGGCCGTGGCGACCAGAGGGGAGTATTCGTCGTCGATGGTGGTGCCGTCGTCGGACGAGGAGGAGGCGGAGGAGCAGATCTCGGCCACACATCGGGCAGCATGGGCCTGCTCCTTGGTGAGGCGGGCGGCTTTCACCGTGGCAACCACTTTCTCCTTGGCAAGCTGCTCGGGCTCCTACATGCCAAGTCAGATCGCCTTGTCATTTTTGTGGCGACGGTAGTGAATGTCCGTCTCCGCCGATGTCAATGCCTGATAGATGGCGTCGCGGAGGAGGCTATCCTCTGGCTCATCAGGCGTAGACTTGCTAGACACACAACCGGAGCGACTGGACTGCCTCCTCCCCTCAAAAGATTCAATCCAGAGTTTTAAACTCGACATAAGTACTCCAAGCAGCACACGTGACGCCGTCCAGTTGTCCAATTGCTTGCTTGCTGAGTCAGACTGGGCTGCAATGGCTGTTTGTTGGGCTGTACATACTTTGTCTTACCAACTGAGATGTGATTTGTAAATCCTATACCTCTGTGGGTTGCTTTTTTTCAATTGATGTTCATCCCATTTATCGCAACGAGCAATCGTTTTTCTCGGAAGAAAGAAGTAAATGACTAAAGCAATCATAACAGGCCAGATCAGAGCATCTACAACCGGAAAGCTGACCCCTTACATCCGTGGACAGCGCATGTTCACTACTCATTTCTCCGCGTCTGTAGTCACTCTCCTCGTATTCAAAACCCCACGTCCATACAACCCATGCAATATGATCAACACTACACAACATAGCATACATATAGATTGGGAATAGCAAGTTTATACAGGGAGTGGTGTTTTGGCTCCTGGGCTTTGAGCCCGGAAGTGAACAAAAAAAGAGTTAAAAATACTAAATATTTTTTTGTGGAGAAAGATGCCTGAGTGCGGTGCCAAATTTCAGAGCATCTGGATGTATGAATAGCTCTTTGCAAAAAAGATAAATTTGATTTGAGGTTTGTGAAAAAGTTTACTGTTTGTGCACTTTCCAGACCCATTTTTTGTTGAGAGCTACTCAAATCTCTAACTGTTTTGAAAGTTGGCAGACACCTCACGCACTGAACACATCTTTCATGCAAAAAACAGTTTTTTTAATTTTACTAGTATTTGTTTTTGAATTTACGGTTCACTTGGTGCAAATGAGCCTGAGATCGGAATTGGATATTTTGTTTATATAAGCATACACAAAATGGGTAAGTTCATCACCTCCATACGAAATGCCTAACGGTAGCTAGATAGATAGATAGATGCGGAGGGAGGGTGCCAGAGTCCACCATTTCCTCGCCAGGCGCTTCCTCTCAGGCTCACTGGAATGGCGGTAGTAGCCTTTGGCCTAGGCCTCGGCGACCAGAGAGGAGTCTTCGTCGTCGGCGGTGGTGCCGTCGTCGGACGTGGAGGAGGAGGAGGAGCGGATCCCGACCAAACACCGGGCGGCGCGGGCCTGCTCCTTGGTGAGACGGGCGGCTTTCGCTATGGTGGCTACTTTATCCTTGGTGAGCCACCTGGGCTCCTACATGCCTAGCCGGATTGCCTTGCCATTTTTGCGGCGGCGACAGAGGGTGTTCGCTTCCGCCGATGCCAGTGCCCGATATATGGCGCCACAGAGGAGGATATCCTCCGGCTCGGTAGGCGCAGGCTTGCTAGACACACAGCCAGAGCGACTGAACCTGTCTCCTCCCCTCCGCATGGACCGTTGCCGTGTGGCCCATGCCTTCAATTCCGCGTCCGTCTCCGCGGGCTCAGCTGTGCGGGCACAATACCTAGCGTCTGCCAGGAGGAGCAAGGCCTAGATAGGCACCAACCGCGATGAGCCAAGGCGATCGGGCATGGAGCCTGGCCTGGTTCAAAGAGAGTGCAATTATTTTCTTGGGGCTGGTTGCCTAGCATATAATTTTCTCAAATTCTTCATTACTTTGTACTCTATTTCATGATGTAAGTTAGAGATGAGGAATAGGAGTTGAGGGGTGAGGAGACAAAAAGTCCACTGATTGATTGGAGTGAATATGAGTTTAAGTAGGAAGAATATCGAGAGTTGACGGAGCCACTTCCAACCAATTTCTTCCCATGGGAAATCCTGGACTAACTCCCATCATGTGCCGAACAAGAGAACATGAGTAAAAAATATTTTCCACATGTAATCTCTCGACTAACTCTCTCGTACAAACTCCCACTCCCTTGGCGGAAAAGTTACCAAACATGCGAGTAGGTCAATTAATCTCCTTGTGTTGAAACTTCACATACCTTAGTGGATGCTTTTCTTTATGAGGATTGAAACATTGTAAAAAAACTACTATGTGCAACATTCAATGTAAAGGGCGGCGTTTTACCATTTGCATAAAAATTTCTGCTTGTTGACGTGTATCGGATCGCCGCATACTTTCTCACCAACACATGAATTAGCTAATTTTTTAGAATGAGGGTTGAGACGGACCGACTTTGAATTAACAAAATCATCACCGGCTACGAATACATCGCTGAAGAACTTACAATGAATGGAACAAAGAAAACTGGGGCCATTAAATCCCAAGAAACAAATACAAGGTGCAAGCAAAACATCGCATACACTGAAGACATCACAAGCAACTACTAAAATATAACCAAAAAAAAACCTTAAGCTTCATCCGTCGAGGTTGTTGTCCACCAATGCAATCATCACCAATGAAGAAACAAAGAACATGGGGAGGGGGCACATTTGTAAAAGGAGTAAGCCCTTGTCCACTCCCAAAAGAAAAATTATCTGTACACAATGCCATCCGTCTTCACTATGTAAAAGGGCCATGCCTTCTGGTCTCGGATAGTAGGATGCAACACAGTCTACATGCGAAGTGGTTCACCCTACAATCCCAATGAGCACTTGACAACAAGGTTACTAGGGGAGGAGCTCTAGTGTTGTGATCCCACGTACTGAGGTATGTTGTCATCTACGACATTGCCACATAGAAGATGCATACTGTAGGAAGGAAACACAATCCAAACAGACACGACGAGATAAGTCAATAACGCCACCCGCGGAAGAAACCGGACTTGCGGGAATCCTGGGTCGAAGGCGATGCACCACAGGCATCTTGGCCTCAGAAGGAGAGGAACATAGGTGCCCAGAGCCTGCCAGTACTGCCACATAACACAGTCGAAGCTAGACAACAAACCCACCACCAGCATATCCCAACTAAACTACCACCCGTGCAATCCAAGTATGACGTCTCCTGGGGGAATGACATAGTGGCACCGCTATCGGACCCAAGCAGGATCAAGCTTTACAGTTTTTCACCTATATGCAGGGGAGGATGGGTGGGATATGATACCTGAACGAAGCCTCCAAGGAGGTGGGCGGCGTCCGCGACATTGTTGTGGCCGCCATCACCGGCCAAGGGTTTCTTCGATCTCGAGAACCTCACCACCCGCTGTCCGACCACCACCTGAATTCCGTGACCCCAAATCCGACAAGAGAACTGGGAAGACGTTGCTAGTAGCTAGCCATCTTAGATCTAGTGTTTGACCGACGAGATGCTCAAGCGCATCATGGTGGCAGCTAGATCAGGAGAGGGGCCGACAGTGAGCTAGGGTTTGGAGCCCCCCGAGTCGCCCCAACGGGAGCGGCGCAAGGCCGAAGACGGCACATGATTTGCTTGAAGCAACAATTGGAAACTCAGACTCTCCTTTATGTTGAAAATTGCTATCCAACTCAAACAAACAAACAAAAAATACAAAACTCAGACTCTGCTTTTAATATTTCAAACATAGTATTTTTGACGAAATTATATATCCGATACACG